TCATTGATATTAGAACGCGCGTGTGCATATCCTCTACAAGTCAGGTAAGGAAATCGCGGCTCTTGTAACGACATATATAGACATGGACATGTTAGGTTGCTGATCAATCCTTATAAGAAATTGTTGCAGAGTTAACTCTGTGATAATGTCTGAGAGCAAAGTTGATGAGAATCTTGGAGTGGAAATAGCCTGAACACAAGAAACTAGAGTTGGAGGGCAGTAAATCCAAAGACCAGCTGTTTTTGCAAAGGAAGAAGATAGAAAGGGGTTGTTAGGAGGTTCTACCTATTTTTCTCTTCCAAGTACAACTATCAAGAGATTATTTCAGCGATTTTGGTCGCCTCTTCTATAAACTAAATAGAGCAATTGATCTATTTATTGAGATCGTAGATTGACATCCGTATCACAAATCTTCGAATTACAGTTCCGCCGTATTTATAGTAGATTTTCATGAAGAAGCAATTCAAGTCTCATAACCAGATTGTGATGTTTTTAGACATATTGGGAGGGACTTGATGGGTACGACAGACAATCGCGCAACCCCAACATCTGCTGAAGTAGGGTCCTGACAAACTACCTAAAGAGTAGTAGAAAGAAAGTTCCAAAATATACATCTTCCCTTTTCTTGCAAGGAAAGCTGTTTATTATGTGTAACACCTCTATTTGGACTAAGAAGCAACCAGCGCCGCGCACCCCTAGCATTTTTCTTATTTTTTGTTTCTTTTGTGGTAGGAATCGGTTTTCATCCCCTAACTTATTTCTGCAATAATTAATGTACGCTTATTTAATTTATGATAATATCTTGTGACAAACTTTTCGCCAGTCTGTCTTTATCGCTTACCGATGAAGCATATTACAAATCGTCCTTTAACCCATGAAACTTCCATTTCTATCCTAAAAATCACTAACAAAACTGCAAGACAGGTTATCAATGCACAAGAATATGAGCGAAAAAATCCTCCTCGTAGGGTTTGAAACAACCAGCGTTTATATACAATATTTATTGAGAAATGAAAATCACAATTCAATAGGACCAATCATAGAGCTGGGTTGATTTGAATGATAAAAAACAT